GTCCACAAGACCCTTGTCGAAGAGTAGCTGAAAGAACAAGTTGTGATTATACTTTGTGCATGTTTCCTTCATTGTCTTGTATTGTTTGAAGGTTTTATTAATCTCTTTAGGACATTCTGTACAAAATCCCTGAACTGTATAAAGCCACAGGAGTCTTAATAAAAACAAGAATTATTAAGAAAGGAGACAGAACACTGGAGAAATGGACTGTGTAACAAGTCTAATCTGAAATGTTACTAAAGCTTGTCTTGATTGGTCTCCTTCATGTCATTAAAAGAAAGTAAACTATCCTACACCCCTATAAATTTCATCCTTTGACTGAACTTGCCATCTCCCCTCTGACTGTCTGGCAACTACCAAATCCAGGAGAGTTTCTGGTATCAATTGTCTTCTTTTGAGGGTGCTTTTGCTGTATATTTGCAGCTATCTTCGCTCTTCTCATCCATGCGAGCGTTGACGAGCGCCGCTCCAGGAGCGGTAGCCCGTGTGTTAGCCCTGCCTGCTGCTGGGTACCTCTGCAGAAGGACAGCCAGGGAGATACGCAGCCTTCTTCAACTGCAGCCCACCCAGTGCCCGTAGGTTAGAAACACAGACGTCTTGAAATCATAGCGCAGGCATCAAGTAAGTCCAGAGTAGTGCTTACTGCCGGGCATTAAACTGTTTAATTCTTTATCTTCCGTATAGCTTTAAGTTCCTTTGAAAGTGTTACACAAATGTCGCTCCTCATCCTTTTTCCGTATCTTATTTTTGAACAAGCAGATCACAGCTCAAGTCTGTCTACCCTTTCTCCTAAATTATTGACCATGACTTTACATAGTAAATTGCACTGGCTACAAATGTTTGCTTGAACATAATTCATGACGGAGTTTAAAGAGACAGAGCTTACATATCATTTTCTCAGTCAGTAAACAACTGATGTTAATTTTGGCATTTCTCAGCTCCCGAGTGCTTAGTTTTGATAAGATGGTGTTCTTTTCAGTTCTTACAATCCATTTAAATATTTTTCTTATTGTAAAAAAAAGCAGCAAAACTTGCACTGAGAATGAAATGACATCCTGCAAAATCCTGCTGACCCTCCCTTTCTCTGGAAGACTCCCACGAGTGAAACTTGCAAGCATTGGAAACTAGATGAACAGCATCCTCCGCCGTCACATCCGCTAAGTGGCACTAGCCATTGCAGATGGATGATACGCACCTCTGCCATTTCCCGTGCAGGAAGGAGGGTGTAGCTGGGGTGAAGGATGGGATGGCAGATGCACCGCTGGGTTGGTGAGGAGAGTTAGGAAGAAACAGAACATACTCTGTGGAAATCTGTACTCTGCTGTGTTGAGGTCAACCCAGGAATCATCAAATTTGGGCATTTTTTTAATACACACAGCAAAAAGGAAATACCAGAGACCTAGTTGTTTTGATTCTAGACCTTCTTTATAAAAAGCTTAGGGAAAATTGGGCAATTTTTAATACATGCAGCAAAAAGGAAATACCAGAGACCTTGTTGTTTTGATTCTAGACCTTCTTTATGAAAAGCTTGGGGAAAAAATAAGTTAAGCATGAGCAGATTTTTTTTTAACCTTGTTCTAATGGATAGTATCAATGAATAAAAAAAATCAAGCCTTGAGGAGATGGAAATTGTACTGAAGATTGAGTTTAGCAAAAGTATAAATGGCTGAAAACAGGCTCTTACAGTAGAATTTTTAGGCAACTTGTTGACAAGTTGTAGGTCCTAGATTTAGTCACTTAGAAGTAGCTTAAGAGTCATGCTTTCCCTTTCCTGGCATTATAGTTTTTCTTACTCTTTCTTATTTCATTGTGTTGTTTTGTCCTCATAAACACTCCTAAACTGTTTGTATCGCCTCATCTGTAACCATTTCTTAACCATTTCTTTTTTTTAAAGAATTCTCTGCCTTCCAAGAAGAGAAGGCAGATAACCAGCTAAATATATGTAACACATAACATAAGTCGATTTTATGATGCTTGGAGAATTGTCCTGTAAATCTGGGTCAAAATGGTTGTGGTTTTAGTTAAAACTGGTAAGGGTGGATCATTGCCTTATTTAATGGCTTTATTAGAGCACAGTTTTCTCCTGCTTTCTCTGTATTGTAAGGTCATTAATGAATCATTAGCTATTGCTAGTAATTACTGATCTCTTGAGAATATTGGTTTAATTATATGGGAATCATAAGTGGAAGATACAGTTACATATTCTACAATGTAGGTAGTAGTACCTTGGTGTATTATAGCTTTAAAGAATCTGTATTTTTTTTTGTATATTTTAATTGCTAAGTATGCCTGGTAAAATATGAATAATCGTATTACTGCATGTGATAAAAGTTATACTATTGTGAGCCTCGCAATCTGCAGGTGTAACAGATGTAAGGCAAGATTAACAGGACATAACAATAATTAAACCACAGACAGCCATCTCAAACAAACAAAAAAAAAGGTTTATCATGTCCAATGCAATTATTAAGTGTGTCTCAAATTCTCTGCAAATATTTGTAAAAGCAATAAAAACGTGTTAGTTTGAAAGACAGCTTTTCAGTGTGAACGCTTACTTTAAGGAATTAAGCTCCCTTTTGATGAATATAAAAGCTGAGTGAAGTCCTGCCATATGGCAGCATGGTTCATAGGCAATAGGGTCCTTGGTTTATAGATGCTATGAGCTAAACGCTGCCGAAGAAAATAAGAGAGCAGTTAGTATATATGCATTTACAACAGTATGAATTGCTTACTCCTTTAAAGACGGGAAGGTTCAAATAATTAACGGTAATACTATGGTTGCAAAAGGAAGTCCAGTTGTTCTTCAGCAGTCTACATCTGTGAAATGTGATACCTCTGGGGACTGAGATTTAATTTTCCCAGGAGAAAATATAAAAGCAGGAGAAAAAAAGGAATGACTTCTGCTTGAGCAGAATAAACCTGCATCTACAAACGATTAACACTGCATAATGAAGTAGTAAAGGAGCAAAAGAGATTTCTAATAAAAGACTAATAACAAATCCCATTACACCATGGTGTATTTTTTCCCTTGAAGTGTATTAGACTTTTAGCAGGGCTTCTGAATGAGATTTGGGTAGTTGCAAGCAAAGTCAGCTCAAATGCTTCAAGCTTAGCTGAAATTTCTTGCCTAACAGTTTGTGTAACTTGAAAGTTGCAGTTTTACAGGTGGGAGGGGTTGTTAATGCAAGTAATAGGCTTCACGCAGAGTTTGGGTAATGTTTGTGTCACCATAGGATAATAGTCTCCTGTAGGCTTTGTGCTGTAGGGTAATGTGCCACTATATGGTAAAATCCCATAGAACAGACATGGTATTAAATGTACTAGCTGAGCCTTGCTTTATGTTAACAGTTCTTCTGACTTCTCTTTCTGAGGCCTGAAAACAAGTCCTCATAGGAAAGGGGTTTGATCATAGAGTTTGTAATTTGTAATAGCTAATATTGTGACTTTTATAATTACTACGCTAACATTAAAAGTTACAAGACCTTAGAACGTAAATGTTTGATATAAGGATGAGACGGTGCTGTCTTTTGAAATCGCGTATTTTCACTTTTAAAAGGGAACTTGTCTTGCAAGGGAAAAATTCCGTGTAGTGATCTGTAAATGTGTAACATGGATGTTTCTGCAGATTATACATACGGTTCCAGTGGCAGGGGGAATAAAAGTTTAAGCGAACAAAACCTTGACTCACAAAACAGTCCCACTGAATTTCTTTTATAAGAGAGAGCCTTTTTGTACAGATTGTTGCTATCTTAAAAGCTTCTGCTCAACTGACATGTTGGAATTAATTTGTCTAGAAATGAACTTTTATTACTGGAATCAGGAAAAAAAAAACAGATGCCTTAAACCAACAATGAGTTCTGGGACAAAAGTGGTTAAACATGAATTCTTACAAGTGAAACTAATCTTGATGGAATTTCTAGTTGCCTTTTTAGAAATTTTTGTGAGTTTTAAAGAATGACTTAATTTGCTTAGCAGAAATTTGCAATCAATCTTTTCTTGCCACTGAATAAACAGATTCCACATGCGTAGTAATTTGCATATCCCGGCTAAAAATGTAATTCATTATTTTTAAGTCCATTTCGTAATAACTATTTCAGGATTAATGTTACTAACTATTCTTTAGCTCTTTCAAATGTAACCTTAGATAATCCTACCTAAAAAGGTACAAAGCTAGCGGGTCCGTTCTGGAATAGGAAAGGGAAGTGCCTTTCCTGAGGTCAGCAAGTAAGTCAGTGTAAGAGCCAGAACTGGAAATACAAAATCTTGAGAAATAATTTTCTTCTACTGCATCTCAAGCTTCCAGCCTCAAGCAAATACTGCATTTAATAAGACAGATTTTCACATTTTGCTAGGTATGAAAACAGCACAGATATGAACAGGAATTAATGGTATAGTCTACATGCAGATTATCACTAAATCTGCTAAATATTTAAATTAGGTTTAATCAAAATAGCATCCATAGCATATTTTACATGGAGCTGTGAACAGGGAGGGAGCCTCATCAATAACAGGGAGGAAGCCTCTTCAGAGTAAGTGTGACCCGGTCCGTTTTTACTGCTGTTTGGCATCTGCCCCTGAACTGGCTTTCACTTGACTGGGCTTTTCAGGGCTTCTCATAAACCACTGGCTTCGCCCTCCTGTTTTTGCTGTTCCAGGCTATTCTTGCGTAACATTTTCTCCCTTTCATCTTAGATCACTATCACATTAAATGCTCAAAAATATGGTCTATAGGATTGATATGTTTTGTCCTTTGAGGTTCACCCACGTAATAATATTAGTCAGTTAAGCTTCTAAACTCTGTAATGTATCGCTTCTTTAATATAGATGCAGTAGCATTTCCACAAATACAGTTAGTTAAGTGGTTATCACAGATCTTCACGCTTTGCAAAATTTTCTGGTAAAATGTTTTGGATTGTAGTTGATCCTGGGATATGTATCCTGACTTTACCCTACTTGGCAAAATGGAAAAATACAAATCACGTCTTTTCCTTTTTTTTCAGGCGATGGGTAAGGCTCCTGTTTGGACGTGAATTCCCACTTCAGGACCTTCTGGTTGTCTGGGATGCTCTATTTGCTGACAGTATCACTCTGAATTTAGTTGACTACATTTTTGTAGCCATGTTGTTATATATTCGAGATGCCTGTAAGTATCAACTATCTTACGATCTTTTAAAAAGAATGCAAACCTATTTTTCAAAGAAAAAGAGGACTTAAGAAATGCTAAATTCCACTGTGACTTTATTAACATACTGAAAATTGTTCCAAATGCTAGGAGAGGAGCCGTTTATTATCAGACGCGGTCTGCTGTATTTATGAAACAAATTGTATCTTGGAGTTAAATGCAGGTTTGTTTTCTGAGTAGTTCTGTGTTTTTATATGGTGTTGCAGATTTTATGTGCAGTAAGCGATACAGGTATGAATAGAGCTCCACCTTCTGACCAAGCTGATGAATTGAGTAAAGCCTCCCTTTGACACTGGAAATATTTTTATGCTGTTCTGCTGTGAGAAATGTGAAAATGCAGACTGACTCATAATTTTCAAAGATATATCTTGAGGGAAATGTAAATGCAGAAATGAGTAACAATTACAAAACATGTTTATTCTGTGCAAGAGTGGCATATTTAAAAAATGATGATTTCATTTGATTTTATTTTAGTACGCCTGAAATATGTGCAAAGGTGAATTCTTACGGGTTAGTGATGACCAATAAATACATTAAGTTGGGACAAACAAGAAATCATAAAAATGTTGTTAGCTTATATCATTGTGAATGGGAGGAGGAAGATATGTAATGATTGAGGCATTTATTTGTGTCCCATCATATTTTGCAAAAAATTCTGTGTACAACTTTGCCGCAACGAAGTATGCGTTTTGCAGCAAGATGCATGTCTGTCATTAAATATATGAATTCCATAGCATGCTGTTCGGAGTTAATTATATACAATCTGTAAGCTTTAGGTTATAACAAGGTCACATATTTGACACAATTTTATATTCTAGAACACATGAAGTTTTCAACATCTGCGATTCCTATTTTAGGGCCCAATCTTGAAAATACAACGTGCGTGTACTTTACACGTACTGTCGTTCCACTGCCTGCTTTCATGTGTTTTTTTAATTACTTTTTAATAAACATGCAGCATATAGAGCTACCTTACATTCCTCTCAAAGAAGTGGACATTTAATTCAGTTTAGAGGTTGCAAAATTAATGCTGCTGTTTCAGGATGATCTGATTCCAGGTCATTATGTTCTGCAATCTAAATCTGGCTTGTTTATGTGCAGTAAACTGAAATAATCTTAAAATTTTTGGTGTAGATATGTAGTGCAGATGCATGTAAAAATGTTTCTTAACGTCAGTATTTTATTTTGTGTCATTGTTTCCCTTAAAAAAAAACAACTTTAGAACTGTGTTTGTAAGCACCCTCTCTCTTTTGGGGGGGGGAAGGTTGTCCTGGGTTTGTTTTGTTTTGCTTTGTGGTGCTCATGTATGAGTATCAGTATGAGGTAGCTAAAAATGTGAGCTAAAAATGTGTTCTAGGCATCTGTATGAAATCGGTCTCCCTCTTTTCTCTGAAATCCCCGGGCTTAGTAAATAGAGTAGTAAATAGCTTTAAAAGTGGGGTACGTTTGCCCAGCTGAGATGCAAAGTCATCTCATCAGGACAGCTAATACTTCATACATATACTGTTTCTGTAGTAACTTTTTGTTCTGTAGTTGGACCTAATTAGTTACTCTAAGCATATTAGAATGGTGAAACAAAATACCTAGTCATAAATACTGTAAAGTTGAATATATTTTCAAACTCAAGCTCAAACTATAGCAATTTTCCACAGTTCTTGATTTGATAAAAGAAAGCTTTTTTTTAATATATCTGTAATAGAAAGTTTTCCATTTTTCCTCATTTTTTTATTGCTGATAATATTTGAGCTTTGAATGGAGTTCAAAGTTCTGTTTTAGTATTTTTAAAAACATTTTCAAATTAAATAAGTTTCTAAAAGCTTCTCTTTATTTGGTGAAAGGAAATGTTAGCTCAAAACACCCAATGATGTTAATCATCTATAAATAAACCATCTGGAAATTTTCAGTGTAAAAACTTCGAAACAATAGGAATAGTAATAGAGCTCCTAAGATAGCATGTTATAAAAATGTCAAACATAAGCAATGATAATAATACAATACTGAAAGCATCTGAAAGTTTAAAAATTATGCAGATTCTTTTATACCAACACATTTGGGGATGGGGGAGAAGTTGCTGGTTTGGGAATGGATGGATTTTTTTCTGTGCTTTATTATGATGTTCTCAAGGTCATGATTTTAAGAAAGTATTATTTCTGCTACGTTTTTCATTTTAGTTTTATTTTAGTTTTGAAATCCTCTGTTACTCAAACAATATATTATTCAAGGTGAAGGGAGCATTTAGATTATTAGATTATTTTAGAGATTACAAATACATAACCACATACACAGCCATTCTGTAAACTGCTCTGTTCAGTTTTACATCTGTATCCAAGCAGAGCTTTATCCGTGGAGTGATAATCCTCACAAGCCAAGTGTAGGGTTGTATACCAAAGTATCTGTGAGTTTTAATAAATGATTTTCTTCGGAAAAATTCATGCAAAACAACCTTTTTTTTTTAATTTGTCAAATCAGAAGCATGAATATGTTCCTTCTTTTTCACCAATATGGATGTATATGCAGTTGTTGATGAAATCAGAATGGAGGGGAGAGTGCAGTGTACAAATATATATATTTTATATACTTTCCTTCAAGAAGGACAAAAATTAACAAACCTGGAAGACCTGTCTATATTTTGCATAGTAAACTAACATCATTATTGCACCAGGAGCTAATTTTGACTGATGAGTGTTAGAATAAGTATATTTTTATCATGTTCCTACTTGAAGACTAGCTATGGCCATTGTTGGGATATATTTGTTCCTATCTAAAAGTGCTCTGAAGACTTTGAGGGAAATAAAGGAGCCACAGCCTCTTCTTAGAGGAGCTGATTTGTTATTTTTGTTACTGTGCAAGATGTTTGTATTATCTATGTTTAACTCAGTTTAGGGCCTACTAAAGAGAAGACAGCCATGTGTGAAGCAGCAAGGGGAAGTAGTCCCACCCTTCCTGGGTTAGGAAGTCATCTGGATACAGGATTGGTGGCATCAAACATTGAACTCTTAAGAAATGACATGGCAGATAATTAGAACTTGGTTGAGGACAGGTACAGTTAGTTTACATGTTTTCCACCACTATTATTGCTGTTTGTGTCCAGGAATGGTTATTTGACCAACAGAGAAAAGTCAGTCTCATCTAAAGCAGAAGGGAGAAAGCAATTTAATGTTCCTCTGGGCACTGCATAACCAATATTCATCAAAAGGCAGTAAGATTGCTTTCTCTATGTAGAGGAGTTTCTCTACTCCTCTCCCTAGACATACCAATAGCATTCTTCTTTGGAGAAGTGAGAACTTGTTATTCACAATAAAAGTTGGATCCAGGTGTGACTCTTGCCAAGCCAATTAGTGAAGGAAAAGCAGGGGTACACTAGCACCAAGCTCATTACAAGGCAGCTGGGCACAATATTTCACCGTCGAACTTCAGCACCATCCAGGTACTGCTGAGACTGGAGAAATTTGTGTTGCACAGATTCTCCTTCCAGAAACTATCCTACAGTTGATTCTTAGAAATCCTTTTAACTCCAATATGCATATTCAGAAAAGGGGTGTTTGTTTTGTTTTACTGCTATTGTCTTTATCATTTTTAAGAAAACCACCGCTCCATGGGATAATATTATACATTTTGTCCTGAAGAGACAAGAATCGTAGAATGATTTGGGTTGGAAGGGGTCTTCAAGGATCATCTAGTCCAGCCCCCCTGCCGTGGGCAGGGACATCTTCAACTAGATCAGGTTGCTCAGAGCCCCGTCCAACCTGACGTTGAACACTTCCAGGGATGGCATATCCACAACTTCTCTGGGCAACCTGTTCCAGTGTCTCATCACCCTCATCTTAAAGAATTTCTTCCTTATATCTAGTCTAAATCTACCCTCTTTTAGTTTAAAACCATTACCCCTTGTCCTGTCACTACAGGCCCGGGCAAAAAGTCTCTCTCCGCCTTTCTTACAGCCCCCTTTATATATTGAAAGGCCACAATAAGGTCTCCCCGGAGCCTTCTCTTCTCCAGGCTGAACAACTCCAACTCTCTCAGCCTTTCTTCACGGGAGAGGTGTTCCAGCCCTCTGATCATTTTTGTGGCTCTCTTCTGGACCCTCTCCAAAAGGTCCATGTCTTTCTTATGCTGAGGGCTCCAGAGCTGGACGCAGTACTCCAGGTGGGGTCTCCCCAGAGCAGAGCAGAGGGGCAGAATCACCTCCCTCGACCTGCTGGCCACGCTGCTTTTGATGCAGCCCAGGATATGGTTGGCTTTCTGGGCTGTGAGTGCACATTGCCGGCTCATGTCCAAGAACAGCTCACTTTGAAACAAAGAAGAATACCAAAAGGTGTTTCAGCAAAGTAATCCCTTTAAACCAAAGATTCCTCAGCAAATAGAGCACTGGCAATGAAGTTTTCCTCTGTAAAGATTTCTACATGAAAAAGGGACAACTGAATAGAATATAGGGGGGTAGATTTAGACTAGATACAAGGAAGAAATTTTTTACGCTGAGGGTGGTGAAACACTGGACCAGGTTGCCCAGAGAGGTGGTGGATGCCCCATCCCTGGAAACATTCCAGGTCAGGTTGGACGGGGCTCTGAGCAACCTGGTCTAGTTGAAGATGTCCCTGCCCACGGCAGGGGGGTTGGACTAGATGACCTTTAGAGGTCCCTTCCAACCTGAACTATTCTATGATTCTATGAATATGTGGGGAAAATCCTAAAGACAAAATAAATATAAAAGTTAGCAGGCCTTCCTCATGAAAGTCTTGGAGTTTTTTTAACTTTCTTTGGATGGTAAGGTTTCATTTTAAAATTTAACTTTTAGGGATCAGAGGGGACACAGGTCATTGCCCAACAGTTTGATTTTTTTTTCCCATTATTCAATTGCTTCACTATTATACATTTCAAAAAATTAATAATAAGAGTAAGTGTCTTGTGGTTGAAAATACAATTTTTTTGTCAGGGGTCAAGTCTGGACCATTCAAATAAATAAGCTTTTTTAGTATTTACTTTTCTCTGTATCTGTGAGACAGCAAAGAACTCTTCCAGGAAAAATAAAGAAAGGATGATTTTAATCCATTTTATATTGCAGAATAGAACACATACTGATCTGTTCAAAAGAGAAATGCGTTAGTCTTACCGCCTATCGTTTATAAAAGTATTTAGAATTTACTATCCATTTTCAGTATTTTTATTTACTTTGGTAAAAAGGCATCATGATCATAACTGCAGTACAGCATCTTAAATTTGATTTACGTATGAGAGTTTGATTGGGTATGTACTATGTGGTGCTCGTACTATACTCCTCTGAAAGAACTCTGACGGAGACCATTGTATTGTGTTCATTATGCCAGCTTTGTGACTTCAAGAAGAAAAAACAGGTACCTGAATATGAACAAGAAAAACAAAGGGTAGGAAAAAGAACAGGCAGAACAGATAAAGAATGAGTAGGATAAGTGAGTGCTTTACAAATGAAAGCAGATGTATGAAATTACAAGCTGTCGGATCAGCAACGGAAATGAAGATGATAAA